AAGGAAACTCTTTGAAGCAGTGATTGCGTTGGCTTTCCGATCAAGTTCATTAGACCTGTGGACAGTTCTTCAGTTTGTTGGAAAGGGAGAGGGCTGGAAGAGGTGGCCTCTATTCCTTTCCTCCGTCCAGGGCGACACAGAAGGTTCTCCCCTCCAAATCAGGGGTGGACGACAGTGCTGTGATTGATGCCTTTTGTTCCCAAGCCAAATTGTTTTTGATAGCCCACCTCCTGCCAGCACTTCCCCAAGTGCTCTTGCATCAGCTCCAGAGGGAGCCCCTTCCTCAGGCTTTCCAGCCAGCAGCTGCACTGCGATGCAGGGAGGGCGGAGGGCGGATGGCAGGAGAAAACAGCTTGCAGACAAATGGGCAGCTAATCAGACCCACAGCCCCATCACCAGAACCATAAAAAATCCCATTTCTCCCCACCCCCACCTCCACCCCCCATGTGCCTCATCTGCAGTCTTGACTGAGGAGAGGCAGGAAAGTTACAGCTTCACATGGTCTATCAAAACAGCTCAACTATTTTCCCTGGTTTGGGGGTTTTTCTCCCTTTTTAAAACCGGTTGTGCTCAGTCAGTTGGCAGATCACCAGACAGGTATTCAAAGGACAATAAGAAGGTAGTAGAACAACTTTACATATTTCATAACTTAGGCAAAACGGATAAAGCCCTTGAAAAATACAAATTACCAAGCACGCCAACCCGAATCATAATTTCTAGATTTTCTTTTAAATTTTTTATCATCAGAGTTTGGATCTCTCTCTCTTTCTCCTCATCACCCCCCACCTCTCTCTCAATGTACAGTTTTAAATTTTAGAGTAACCCTACTTAATTTACTTAATTAGTAAGCTAATTCTGCTTGTAACTGGTTACTTTTCAGTACAAGCTATCAATTACAGAATGGAGAGAGTAATGTTATTTTATCATAAGCATCTCAGGCTATTTTATCATAAGCATCTATTTTATCATAAGGCTATTTTATCATAAGCATCTCATAATGGGTCTTACTGAGGATTATAAAACCCTGATCCTTCTGGGTGGTCTTTATGTTGGGGCCAGAATGACAACCTCTCTGGACTTTATCTGGGGTTTCTGGTCCTTGCCAATGTGAGGTTTCAAGGAGTCTTTAACATATATATGTGGTCAGAGCCTTCTTGCACCCTAAAATGGTTAGACAAGGACCAGTAGAAAGCAATCAGTCTACAATGAGGTTGAAGCTTTGGAAACTAGCACTTCCCCTTCAGTGGGGTTTTATAATGTGTCATTTGGCGAATGAACTGTAAAGAATCAGTCATGCCAAGCTTCGAACAGGCCAGTGACTCAGAACAGATGAAACCTCTCAAATGAAAATGTGTAGATTTTAAAGCTCCAGATTTTCATGTCAATGAAAATAAAGCACTGTATCTAGTTGTACCCTCCCCCCACCCGTGTTCTAGTCTGGTTTATGCCATTGGCTTGATCTGTTTGTACCTTTCAGAAGCAGAGTCAACACATAAACAGAAATAATTATGAACTCCTTCGTGCCTCTTGGGGATAGTTTGAGAAAAAGTAGTCTCTAACATCATTACAATCTTTGTGGTGAAAATACAATACATGTCTTAGATTAAGTAAAATGATAGTGTCATTAAGGGAGTATTCCATTGGTGAAATCGCCTCTCCCTGTTGGCTGAGAACTCAAGCTGCTAACCAAAAGGTTGGAGGTTCAAATCCACCATTGGAGAAAAACTAAGAAAACCAAACACACTGCCATCAAGTTGATTCCAACTTAAGAGTGCCACTATAGAACAGAGTAGAACTGTGCTTGTGGGTTTCTGAGGCTATGACTTTGCAGAAGCTCCAAAACTCACTGTTACCAAGTCGATTCCGAAAACCTCATTTTTCTCCCACAGAGCAGCTGGTGGGTTTGAACTGCTGACCTTGTGGTTAACATCTCCATGGGTAGCCCATGAGGCCACCAAGGCCTTCATAGGAGAAAGGATCAGCTGATTTGTTCGTTTACAGAGTACAGCTTAAAGAAGAAGTACAGCTTCAGAAACCCTGGGACAGTTCTACTCTGTCCTCACAGGCTCGTGAGGATGACATTGGTAAAATATGTAAAAGTGGCTAACAGTGTCCCAAAGCATAACTCAACACTCAGTTTAGCTATTGTTTTTTACCTCTACTATTTTTATTTACCTAACGTATAGTTAGTTATCTCTAGTTATTGATCTAGAAACCATAGCTAGGATTTAGGAGCACTAAACATTTGAAATCAATTTTGCTCGGCTCTGACATTTTTCTCCTGTTTCATGATGCCTTTTCACGGACACAGGGGACTTCTTGTTTCTGCTATGTTGTTCTTAGTGTGATCAAATCAGTTCCAGCGTGTAGCGATTCAGTACAGGAGACCCAAACACTGCAGGATCCTGCGCTCTCCCCACAGCGGTTGCTCTGTTCCCGGCTCCTTGTTGCAGCCACTAGGCCGATGCGCTTTGTCAGGGGCTCCTCTTTGTCACGTTTCCTCCACTTCACCAGGCATGCTGTCATTCTCCACCGACTGGGCTCTCCTGATACCGCGTCTTGAGTATGTGAGACAATGTCTTGGCATCCTTGCTTCCAAGGAACATTCTGGCTGTCCTTGTTTTTCCTTTTGCTTTTGGCAGTCCGTGACTCTTTCAGTACTCTCTTCCCTAGGACCTACAAAGAGCTGAGTACCAACCAAGTTCATTCACTTAACCAATTCACTGTGTAAATCAATGGAGTAGAACTTGGGGCTTTATTATTATTATTAGTTTAATATTAAAAGATCATTTTCTTGGGGACTCTTACAGTTCTTATAACAATCCATATATCAACTTTATATCAAGCATATTTATTCATATGTTACCATGATTATTTTCTAAACATTTGTTTTCCATTTGAGCCGTTGGTACCAGCTTTGCTTTTTTCCCTCCCTCTCCCTCCCACCGTCATGACCCCTTGATAAATTATAAATTATTATTATTATTTTCCTATCTTGCACTGACCACTGTATCCCTTCTCCCACAGTTTCTTTTGTTCGTCCCCATGGGTGGGGAGGTGTGGTTATGTGTCAATCACTGGGATCGGTTCCCCCTTCTCTGCTGGTATTGCTACTCCCATGCCTATTCCTGGATTCCATGTGTCGTGAGCTCTCATCTCTTATCTGTATCTGTGTACATGCTCCAGTCTAGCCCGC